ACTGAAGTCAGTTGCTTCATTTCTCTCAGTTGCCAATCTGTGGTGTAATTGTTTGAGCCTAGATCAACAGCCATATCGCCGCTGTCTTATTCTTTAAAACTGAGCCTTAATGGTTTTTGGCATCATCAACTGACGACTTGTGTTGCTCATTATAGGTTGATTAAATTATTTTACACGTATTTGGAAAACCAGGTCTAACCTTCGATACGTTTAATGGAGTCGGGATGTTGTGAGATACTACTCACTTGTGAGTAGTTCGCAAAAAGACTGACGAGTTCTCTCAACGGCCAAAAATGAGCAGGACCTGTTAGAGCGAATTGCTGCTGTTCGGTATGGTAAATACAAGAATGCGCATCTAGTAGTGGACCGTTCCATCGACTATCTTGTGTGCGTGTGGGAATTTTGAAGACGCGTTCCAGATGAGATATTTTGTTGTATGAATGCCAATTTACCGATACCCTGACCGTTATTCGTAATAAACAACTTTCCTCGACCGAACACTGCATTCTGGAATTATAACAACTTGAAGCGCCGAAGTCAGTTCAGTTCAGTTTTTACAACCATTACTATGCACTCTCGTGCGCCGGTTTTAGTTGCTGTCTTTTGGTGCCTCATTTGGATAAAAAAGCAGAATGAAGATCGGAATGTTGAGGGCAGATTAAAGCGGAAGATGAAGAATTCATGTAGAGTGGTGTTAGGAGAATAATGAGTGAATGCACGAGCGCCACTGTTTGCGACACCCAACCATATCACTCTGTCTCTAACCCTCGGTGACCATCATCTCGGGGTCCCCAGCCAGGGAGCCTAACGGGGTCTATGTGACCCAGTCTCTTGGTTACGGTTTTCATACTCTCATGCCAGGTCTTCGTTTGACGACCCTTGACCTGTTTCCAACCACGCCCTGCCTGGGCAAACATCGCTCGCCGTGGCAACCTATCTGCTGCAAAGTTTCTACATTCAGTACCGCAGTCTAGCCGAGTCTATGACCGATGACCACTTCATCAGTGCTCTGGTTTGCAAACTATTAGTGACACCTCCCTCCGCCAGTCTAATTGTTTGTGCTATGCTAGGTGTTAGGGGCTCCAACTATTTGAGACCTTCAAACGCTAATTGTTTATTCACCAACTGTTCATTATCCGCATTCCATGTAAGCATCCTCTTGAGTTTGATTATAGTAACTGTGACAAAATTCCAATCGCGGTGATTTCACTCTCAAATCGTTACAATCACATATGCGTAGGCAAATCATGGGGGTGTGACGTAGACGGGGTCATGCAGTTGAGGTCATTCGATTATGGCAAAGAAGTGTGTGTGTGTGTGTGTGTGTGTGTGTGTGTGTGTGTGTAAGGGAGGGGTCAAGTTTATCTTTGTATCAGTGTGATTGTAACGGCTTTAGAATAAAATCATCGAAACAACACGTTCGTCTATAACACGTGTTCTGTTAACAAAACTGGTTCTTTCG